GGGGAGGTTCTCACGCTGTTGCTTCCCAGACGGACCTCACCTTGCACGACAAGCAGGGAGAGAATGGACAAGAAATGGGAAATCACCATTGACCGGGTACCATGGGTATCTCTTAATTTCTCTAAACAGCTACCCGGTGTAGTGGGCATAACCAACTACATTTCATACAGGAAGGAACTGAAGCTCAGAGAGACCCAGTAACCTGCCATGGGTCACAGAGCCAGTGAGACATAAAATAGGCATTTGCATCTCAGCTTTCCTAGTGCCAGTACCCACCTGGCAGGGGACTGAATGGAGCCAGCACTTTGCTGCTAGAGAAATTGGGCACCTGGTGTACCCAGAGTGCTACGAACTTGGTGGACATCCTGCCAGAGCCTAAGGCCCCCCAGGCAAAGGTTTAAGCCCTGCTCATCCTTGTGGCCCTAAAGGCTTTGTCCCAGTCTTCTGTTGCTCTGGGATCCCAGGTGGGCATCTGAGCAAGAGAGGATAGTTCAAGATACACATGTATCCTGGAGTCCAACGAGATCAATAAGCTTTCATGTGTCAGGCTGACCATGGCCCTGGCAGCATCTGTCCCTCTCCTAACTACAAGGACTTCTTGCTTACCAAGACTCCTATAGTTTCTCTTTTCCTGCTCACGAGACTTACACCTACCCAGGCAGTCACATTATTGAAGGCAGCCATGCCCCAGGGCAGACCGCTGTGCACTTACCTGCTTGTCATCTCCGTTCTTGCAAAGGACAAGAACCACTGGGGCACCAGGGAAAAAGGTGATGACCGACAGGCACAGCTCCTCCTGGAGGATCTGCTGGGTGTATGTGAAGGCCCAGATCTGGAGGAGAAGAGGAAAGAAGGGTCACGTGAGGATCCTTGGAAGCCGCCACTGGTGGGATACTATTGTGCCCACATGTGACAATATAACATGGTTTGGTAAAAAGCACTGGGAGGCTTAACAGGAATCAATCATCAATAAAGTCACCTTGGAAAATGCTACTGAAGGGTGAGAGACTCTT